CATTTACTGTGTTCATGTCCATACTGTGTTCATGTTTATACTTATACCTGTTATCTTGTACATGTTTGACGAAAGAAAGAAAGAAAGTCTCTGAGGGTCCCTTATTCAGGGTATTTAAGTCTTTCAAAACTATTGTGCTTCCCATTTCAGTCTATCCAATGTCATCTGTTTTATTAATGAAAAAAACCCCACTGGAATCTATACACATGTGACTGACTTATAAAATGCACACCACCTTTTGCAAAATGTAATTTTGCCTGCAAAAAATTCACAATGAGAAAAATGGTGATGGATCCATAATGACAAATTATTTCTGCTGAAGAAGTCTAACATTGGCAATACACTGACTACATATAGAGAAATCTCACCTATGTCAGTTGCTCTTGCAGGCATTGGCCTCCTCCACTGTGTGACAAACTTGTATGCATCAAGCCTGATTTCTATAATATTATTAAGCAAAGCCAGCAAAGGTGCTAGTGGAAAAGCAGCAACAAAGATCGTAGTAAAGCCAAACTGTAGAACTAGAAAGGAAGTTCACATAGTTAGAAATAAGAAAACTGGTAAGCAAATCTTCTACCTCCCATCAAAAGAAACATCTTCTTTTCTATCACAATGCTCACCCATTTCCAAGTATTCGTCCATCAGACCATGGAGATTCATGGGCTGTAGATTCCAATCTTTTTCCCACTGAGATAAGGACACTTTATGCTCTAGTAACTGTCCTCCTTTCTTGATCTTGCGTCGTGACCACCAATTCTGGAGTAACCTGCATTAGATAGGCAGAGCATGAAATCTGTAGTGTCACCTGCAGGGTCCCTCCCCCCAAATGATGTTTGGATTCACCATTCTCTTCCTTTCCTAAAGAAAGGAGATCCCTGTTTGTGCAGATGGTCCTATCAAGACCATCAAGAAGTAATGATTATTTTGATGGTCTGTGCAAATTCTCTTTGACTTTTTTTCTTAATAACATATAATTATTAAAGGCTATTCAAGATGGAATGTATATTGATTTTGTGATCACCCTAACCCTTGCATTAGGCTCAGAGATATTTTCCTGAAAATAAGACCTCCCGGGATAATAAGCCAAATTGGGCTTTTGAGTGCATGCGCTAAAATAAGCCGTCCCCAAAAATATTGCAACACAGCAGCAGCCATCAGGTGACCAGGCTCGCCGCCTCCTGCACCTCAAAAATAATATACATTCCATCTTGAATAGCCTTTAATAATTATATGTTATTAAGAAAAAAAGTCAAAGAGAATTTGCACAGACCATCAAAATAATCATTACTTCTTGATGGTCTTGATAGGACCATCTGCACAAACAGGGATCTCCTTTCTTTAGGAAAGGAAGAGAATGGTGAATCCAAACATCATTTGGG